GAGCTTTCCTCCTGATTTTGGAAAGTCTTAGTTTAACCAGAAAGTGTCAAATTAACCTCGAATGCTAATGTTTTCCGCAGTAGAGAGGGAAAGGTGCCCATGTTTGTTGTAAATTACAAATCTAATGGACTACAAAAACAGAAGAGCTCTGCATCTGAACTTGTCCAGTTGCGTCTTTGTTACATTTTTCAGGATTTACACCAAAAATAGATTAAGCTAGCCACAATCTGAGAAAATAATAGAGTTTCTCAGACAGTCCCCAACTTTTTTTACAGTTCAGTGGCCAGGTACAGTATATTTTATTTCCAGAATACTGTCAAAGAACATTTTATGTCTGTAGAAAAACGTTGTCACCTTTGACTAGCAGACTGAGACACTTGTTGGTTGACATAAGAACTGCTGACAGTCCAATCTGAGTGCAATCAATTATATTTTAATGCAGAATGACATACTTAATTTTGGTGTGGATGGGACCTTTTCCAATTTGATGGACGTTTAGGATACACTTTTTTAATATTCTTTTTCTGGTCATGTTTCCCATGCACAGATGTACCTTAATATATCAGGACTGAACAATGTAGTCTTTCACCAGTACAGGAAAAGTCAAATTAATAGCTACTGTGAATTTGCATGACACAGATATGTAAAAGCATGCACAGTGAGGTGTATCAGGCAGGAAATATCAGCTTTTTTCTGAATAGTACTGATTCGTTCAATGAGATTTTCCTGCATCGGTCAAACTAAGTCTAAGCAATTGGTTATGGCTGGATTCACTGTTTTTCAGACTTTTTATTTCTGTTTCTTAACTGACACCTAAACATTCAGAAATTTAATTTTTACTGTTTGCTTTTTTTGTTGTTTTGTTTCACATCCATTCATTTCCAGAGCACACAATACAAAAATTACTTCAATTTTCAGAAAAACACTTATTCTACTTAAGGGTGACTGCTGTGGCCGCTCGTACAGTACCATACATAGCAAGGCCAGAGAAAGGAACAATGTCCAGTAACCAGTCACACCTGGCCAGCAGGTCTCTGGAAAGTGTGAGGAAACCAAATCACCTGGAGAAAAGCCAGGGGTCCTTAATGAAAGAGAATCGGAAGACGGCGTGTCTCGCACGTGTGATCTAGACTCCAGAATGCACAAACTTGATTATTGAAAAGTGAACAACCTCAGTTTGCATCACTGCATGTGCTGTGCAGAACTCTTGACAGGTTTATTTTTTATCAACCATGTCCTCGTCCCTATTATCTTTCGCAGTTGTGATTTTAATGGAAAGGCGATGTGTTCGAATCAGTGCAAAAGTTTTCCAAGCCTTTTCAATGAGGCCACCGTGTTGCAAAGACGTGAAATCCAGTAAGTGTTTCAACCCTGCCAATTCATGTAAAGCGCAGTAAGAAAGACAAGGAAGCTGTGATGCTGGATTTTCAGGTCCGATGCTTTTTCACAGCATGTGTTTAAAGACAGCTGCTATTAAATGTAATTTGTGGAATTCAAAACCTAAAGGGGTGTGTCTTCTTGTTAAGGCAGGGCATCCTTGTCTTGCTCCTGGGGCTGGATAGGTTAACTCTAACCCTAACCCCAGTGTCTCCTGGTATTTATTCCAGTGGTATTTATCAATTAGTAAATGTTTAAATCTCTTAATGAGATGAAAACACCAGATTTCCAGTTACTAAGTTATGAATTAAAACTGGGGTTCGACTAAGTAATTCTCAGCTAGAACACAGACCAGGAGAAACTGTGGTTAAGGTTTTGGAAGCTCTCCTTTGCCTTAGGAATGTTAGAAACTGTATTGCTCCCCACTGACTGGAGCCAATGCACAGCTAGCATGTATCTGTGCTGATTTTCTACCATACCTCTATCCCATACTAAGGTTCCACCTGAAGTCTCAGATGCATACAGTAGTGGGCCCTAATTATTTATTGGAACCAGTAAAGGTTCGTCCGATGCGAGAGAAGGAAAAAAACACGGTCTTTTGGCTGTGGAGCTTTCTTCGGATGTCACACCCAAAGAAGGCTCCTCAGCCGAAACATTGTGTTTCTGTTCTTCTCTTTTCAGCAGGGAATAAACCTTTACTTGTTCCTTGGCAGTTACACATGCTGAGGGAGCTCCCTACTTGACCTAATTATTTACATTAATTATTTAATTAACAGCATAGTTGTAATACTTTTAACCAAAGTGGTTTTATAAATATCTGCACTTACAGTGAAGAGAATATATGTATCCTACAGTACATGTGTAACTCTCTTATGCTTGTAGTCTCTGTTAATACATACTCTCCACCAAGCTTGTTAAACCAACACTTAGTGGTTGATAATGTCTTAAAATGTCACCTCTCAAGCAATGCCTACTTTTATACTGGGAAAGGAGACAATTCTTTTTATTATTATTATTATTTTTAATATTTCCTTTAACCCCTGTTGGTTTACGTATATGATACAAAAGTGCAGACACTTCCTGCAAAGACAAAAAAAAAAGTTTTGTTGCTGGGAAACCAGAACAATGACCCCGCACCCTTGAGAACTTAAGAGAGAAGATTGCAAAACAGAAACACGGCACAGGACTGGAGTTTTAATCCTGATCTGTTTCAAACTCGTCTTTCAAGACCTTGTTTTCATGCCCTGGAAAATTCAGTCCCTCGGGTCATTTGCGGCCATTGATGTTGTTAAGGAGTGACGCACAGTGCTTGAAGTGTTTTGAAAGGCTTTGGTTAGCACAGGCAAATAAAAGTAATGCTGTTTTTTGTTTTGTTTTGGGGTTTAAAAATGGAAAACTATATAAAACTTTTACATGTTAATGGATACGTCTCGAGGGTTCGTTTATGGGGAATTTGTATCCTTAGCTGAGCTGCGCTGTGCAGCGTTGCGCATGTCATAGCAAGTGAATGACTCATATTGACGTGACAGTACCGCCTGGGCCGTTAGAGGTGCATTCTGGGATTGGCTTCAGCTGTGACCTGCCATGTTGGAAGCACAGTGCAGTGATACAGTATGTATGAGAGGAATATAAAGCATGGAGAGGCACAGTGCACCATGAGCGAACCCTGACAAATCAAACCAAATTCATATTCAATGACGGTGAAAAGGATGTACATTAAAACTTAAAAAAGTGCCATCAGGAATCATCACAACTTTGAGGTAAATAGAGGGTATCCATGGGGCTAAGATCAAGTACTGTATGTGAAAAGATATCTTTCAGGTATAGGGTAATTATAAGAGCCCGAAGGGACCCTCATTACCCCCCCACTGAAATGCAGCCCTCGTGTGTGTGATGTACTGTATAGCAGACAGTCTGCCCCGAAGCCTCACTGCACAACAGACCAGTGGGGGGAGTGAGAAATCTCTTCACCTGTTGGGGTGAAGTTTAGGGCGGCCAGACAGTACAAAGTCAGTGGAATCTAACCAGGATGCTAAGATTAACACCCCTACTCTTCTGGACACCCAAGGGATCTTTAATGCCCAAGCACAACAGACCTCAGTTTGATGTCTCACCTGAAGAACTGCACCTCCTGAAGTTTACAGTATAGTGTATAGTATAGTACGTACCACCTGCTGACCACTTACAGTAGTAACCTGGTTTTATTTAGAGGTCTTCCATTCCAGTACAGCCCAGGCCAGGCCCTGCTTAGCTTCTGAGAGCCAATATGATCAGGCTACAATCCGGGAAGTATCAATGGTGACTGTGCCCACCAGGGGGCATAATATCCCATTTATTGCAGCAGGTACAGCCAGGTGCAGCATACAGCGATCCCAGAAACAGAAAGCACTCTCATCTTTCTACCACACACACTGATGATAATCTTTTATTAAGTGCCATGCAATTTACAACTCACAAAGAAAGGGAAAAAAACAACAACACTGAGAACAGACACAAAATGGAAAAACATATCGTAGCAAAGTTAAAAACAAGGCAACCTTTTTAAACATAGCTCAGTATAAAAATAGTGATGACATAAAACCTAACCACCATAGGCCTGATTAGGATAAGTGCTGGTGAGAAGCTGAAAGCTGTTTGTACATTGGTACATGTGGTGAAAATCCAGGGTTCTATAGTGTAGAAACCACAATATCAGTTACAGGCTTGTAAAAGTACAAAAATACCACGTGGATTTGCCATGGTAAACACCCATTAGGAAGCGCCGTTAAAAACTGCACGCAAGCCTGCTGCACAGTTTATTATTCCTGCAGTGTGATTCCCTAATCTGTGCAGTAAGGGAGGTATTCGCGCCTTCTTATGGCCAAAACATTCACACTTGAACTTGAACTTGAACTTCATTGCCGTATATAACCGGTACATGTACAGCTACAATGGAATTCTTATTTACAGAAAGTCTCTCGGTTGTTAAAATAAGTGTAAAAACACAAAGTGCAGACAGTGCATCAAGACAATATACAAACAAACAGTAGACAATGTACAAGTAAACAGTTTGAATGTAAACAATGCAGATGTGTAATAACAGTGACTGGAGATGTGCAATAAATAAATACGAACTCGTAATGAGGTAGATGGTATTGGTGTGGTCCGAGGGGCATGGCCAAATGTGTTCGCCAATCGCACTGCTTGTGGATAGAAGCTATGGACCTTGTTTGTAGAAGGCATATTGTATCAATAATTGATAATTTTGTACTGATATGTCATCACAGCTGAAAGGGACTGACTAGGTGCTCTGCAGCTCATGATGTGTCTGTATATTCAGGTAATAGCTGACAGAATCAAGCCTTTAATGACAAATACAGCCGAGGTGAAAGTGCAGTAAGACAAGGAAGCAAGGTCTTCTAGACCTGCTACCAAACCAGTAAGGTTTTATGAAATAGGAAAGGTTTCTCTAAATTGTAAAAAAAGAAAGACACAAGGAGGATCAGTTCAAGGAAAAATATTTATCACCTCACTGCTCTACCAAATCCACAATGGGTCCCCAGAGTCCAGGGTTTTATCGGAGAATAAAGAAGCAATATTATTAACAACTCTGGTTTCCCTTCAGTGATGCCTTGACGCCATAGTCTAAGCACACTAGAAATATGAATTTGCCAGTCGTACAGGTGCTCCAAAATCAGATTCAAGTGTACAGCAAGCTCACAGGAACACATGCTGTGCGAACAGCGATCCAGCTGGGCGGATTAGCGCAACTCTTCCTGGAGGCTGCTGCTGTTGCAGGCTCAGTGCAATCCTTTTCACCGTCTCCCACTCACATGACCCCACATCCTCTCATCCCAGCCACCGTGTTCCTGGAATTCTGGAAGAGGAGGAGGGCCGAGCTCACCTACGACTGGGATCTGATTGACTGGGAGGAGGAGGAGGTGAGGCTGCCAATGAGGCAGGGGGCAGGGTCGTTTTTATACTGGATGACTTCACACCCAGAGCATGTTGGCTAACACGGTAGCCGCCCTCATGTTGTTTCAGAACCTTGGCCTTTTTAAACACTGGAAATGTGCAGGAAGGTGCTTTAGGACCTAGAGTGGCTGAGGGTATAAAGTGCAGAAGACTCCATGTGTGCTTCTACAAGGTGCTCCACAAGTAAAATCAAGAAACTTAAGACAAACAGCATGGTCATTAACTACCCAGCTCATGTCGTTGTACCCCGGAGGAATTGGGAGGCTGTGATGGCAGGCAGTGTCTTTTTCTTATTGAGCTCTAGATCAATGTGTCTTGTGATTGAGGGATTGAAGTGACAGTGAAGGCCACTCGCCTGAATGATCCTCATTGTCCTTCTCGAACACACGACCATGAGCAATGGCTTTTTGGGTTCCTCTGTCAACAAAACTTCTGTGGGTCTCTGCTCGCTAACCGTATGTGTATTTGTGTCAGGAGGAGTTGCGCCCCCAGTTTGAGGCCAAGTACTCCAAGGTGGAGAGGGTGAACCCCATCTCGGGCAAACCGGAGCCCTTCCAGCCCTTCACCGAGAAGCTGAGCCGGCTCATGGTGTCGGTATCGGGGATATTCTTCATGGTACGACACCCCTCGCCCCAGCCAGAGAGCAGAGATCAGGAAGACGCGTAAACGTGTTTACAGCACACGTCAGTATTGTTAGGATTGTTGGAATTCACCGAGTCCTGTCACAACAGAGTCATGCTGACTTAGGGTTTTCAGCATATGCAGTGTGAAACATCATCTAAAAGAAGCTTTCTCTTACTGTGAGTGGTTCTGGATAATGAGAGAATGCATAAGCCAGCTATAATTTCAATTAAAGATCCAGCTAAGTAATCAAGGGCTCAGCCAGATCAGAAACTGGCAGAAGCAATGGTCTGTAAAGGACCAGGACAGGGAACAACTGCTCTAGTGGACTCTTGCTTTTATTGCCAGTAAATCCTTTAGGTTTCGTGTTGCGGTATTTACTGATTTATTGAATTCGCTTCCTAAAAGAAGGGCTGGGAGTCCCCCAGCCCTCCTGTCTCAAACCTATCGCGCCTGGCTCTGTCCGCAGATCTCCCTGGTCCTGTCCGCCGTCTTCGCAGTGGTGGTGTTCCGTCTGGTGGCCATGGAGCAGTTTGTCTCCTTCCAGTGGGAGTTTGTGAAGAAGAACTGGCAGTTCGCCACCTCCGGGACAGGAGTCTGCATCAACTTCATGATCATCATGTCTCTCAATGTGGTGCATAGATTGCGGTCATCTGTTCTCATATAAAGAGACCAAGTTTGCGATTTCTGCATGTAGGGGATGTGTCATCTTGCGCAGGTCCCAGCCACACTGCCTTTTGGCAGATGGAGACACACAAGTAAAATAGGACTCCCATAATCGACAGTAAAAAAAAGTGAAAACTTGTCAAAGATGTCAGGAAAAGGAGAAGTTTGCTATTAAGGCCTAATGTTGCTGAAGGAATCGCAGTGACATGACATTAAGCAATTGATGTGATACATTTTTATGCTGGACATCTCTTTTGGTCCCCATTCAAGTTAAAACTGCAAGACCAAGAGAGGGACCAGAACAGCAGAGGGGAGTTTAATGTGTTAGAGCTACAAGAGGAATCAAGCGCTCTTGACCATCGCTGCCACAGCCTAGTTGTTTCACATTGATCAAGCAATCCAGTTCACCTTCTTGATTCTAGCAAATTTGTTGTTCCCAACGTCTTAACTGCATTAGCACCACACAAGGACAAATGTGTAAATCCATAACAATGACACATTTTGATTTGTCTGGCTTCGTTTTTAGTTTCTTTTCCCACACTAAATTCAATTATTTTTTCTTCTCTCAAGGTGTACGAGAAGGTAGCATACTTACTTACAAACTTAGGTAAGTAAGAACCACTTTAGCGTGACAACAGAAACTTTGGCCACAAGAACCATACTGCCTAAAACTGACCTGCTGCTTCTGCGGCTTGCCTGGTTTCAGAGCACCCTCGCACAGAGTCAGAGTGGGAAAACAGCTTTGCCCTCAAGATGTTTCTGTTCCAGTTTGTCAACTTAAACAGCTCCATCTTCTACATTGCCTTCTTCCTGGGAAGGTACTGCATCAGCCACACCTGTGATGTTTAATGCTGTAGCATGAGATGCATGATGGGAGACACAAATCTCCCTTTTAAAATGCTTTGTTTAGGCGTTTCCCATTACACACTTTTATTGTATTGAGCTTTAAACCACCAGCACTAGGGAAAATGGCCCCTCTTCTCATATGTGTAATCTTTTTTTTTAACACATCAATTTTCCTGCGGGATCAATAAAGTCTTATCTATCTATCTAATCTGTGTTGCTGCAGCAGTTCACTATGGGTTAGAATAGTCAGACAGGGTTCTCTCAGCTTTCTGGCTTGCATTGAGAGACATGCTTTTCTTCCCCATCAGTGCTAACTCTCCTGATGGGCCCCTGTGTTAGCAGAGGACTCTGGGAGTTGCAGTTCTCCCCTGGCTCTCTTAGCCCCTCTGAAATGCCTCTGCCCTCTTGGGGTGTCGCAGTATGTAGAACTGATTTCAAAGCGCCTGATCAGCTTGTCTCCTGCATATGTTATCTCTAGTAGCGCTTGCTGGCAGCACATCAGGGTCATGCCGGTATGGGTTTCTCTCACCACTAATGTACTTGAGTTAAGAATCTGCTTGTTGGCATATTACCCTTGATAATGATCTCTCTGTCTGGTCCACAGGTTTGCAGGGAGACCAGGAAAGTACAACAAGCTGTTTAAGAGATGGAGACTGGAGGAGGTAATGGCACCCAGAAATTCAGCAATTCCATTAACTTGTGTCCATGTCGCTTCTTTGGTCAATATGCATTACTTAAGTTAATGAAACAAGGTAATGACCTCCAGAAAATGACCTCTTCAGATGTTATTTCAAAATACCCAACATAACAGTAAGCTAAATGTGAGAGATATGATTATCTTGACCCTCTGTCATACTTCAGAGTAATTATTTTTATGTTTCATTTATTAAATAAACTATTCATATCCTTTGAACTTTTAATGTTGAGTTGCTCAATCTCAATTTTTCACTTGAAGTTCTTTCTTTTAATACCAACTGAAATAACTATTAGGTATTTTGTGATATTTGTCTTAATTATTATCAAGGATACCTGATCATCGTGGTTTTAAGCATGGCTTTTGTTCCAAATGTCCCTGTCATCAAAGGCTCAGTTCTTGTCTGATTTCCATTTCTAGGTCTCTGTTTTTGCATATCTTTACTGCTTTCTTCAGAATGAGTTTAGCTTCAGCTAGAACAGTAATGCTGATCAGGAGTATTTTTTGCTTTTTTATTGATTTTGGAGACTTTGAGTGGGCGATTTCCAGTCTGATTTGGAATGTCCTATGTGCTGTGATTTTATATGGGATATGTTCATACAGTCTCACAAGTGGAACACTTAACTCTTTAGAAATTGACCACCCTAGATGTCACTTTAAATCTACTGTATTCATGCACTCAGTAGGCACCAGAACTATTTGATTGATATCTTCTGATATGCTGCAAAAATCTTGTTGTGCTAATGATGTCTTGCTTTTAGATAATTATTATTTCTTTCTGTTAGTGTCATCCAAGTGGGTGCCTGATTGACCTGTGCATGCAGATGGGCATCATCATGGTTTTAAAACAGATCTGGAACAATTTCATGGAACTTGGTTATCCGTAAGTAACATGCCTCAGTGTCATGCTAATTGCAACCTTAACGATATTTCCTCTGTAGCAGATAAGAGATGTGAAAAAAATGGCAGAGCACAGAAAAAGATGCCCAGAGAGTTAACACATGCTGGGGTATGAGCAGGTGCTCTGAACTAGCTGTGAGGCATACAGTAGGTCTGGGTTTGTTAGATATGGTGGTGCAATATTCTGGGCTGGTTCAGCTGCTGTTCGTCTTAAGGGCTTAGCTTCAGCCCACCTGTGTCCTGGTTTGCATCTGTAAAAGGCAGACAAACATGTTCCATAGTATAAGGAGGTACAGTAAATGCAGGTTCTGGAAGAAAGAGCTACCACAGCCATTGTCAGCCAGTGTGTGAAGCTTGACATGGAGTTTTAAACGTGAGCTTTGAGCAACATTCTCCACTCAAAACTCTGTACAGGTAATGGGGATCCCCTCCACCACCACCAGTGTGCAGCCCCACCTGGATGATGCTCCAGTACTCTCCCCACACACCAGCTCTCAGTGGGGAGGAGAGCAGAGTGATGAAGCCAGTTCAGAGATGGGGGTTATTAGGAGGCCATGATGAGTAAAGGCCAGGGGGAAATTGGGCCAGGACACTGGGGTAACACCTTTACTCTTTTCGAGAAATGTCCTGGGACTTTTAATGACCAGGAAGAGTCGGAGCATACTGGGACATGAGGACCCACAGCCCACAGCATGAGCACTCCCTGTTGGTCCCACTAACACTCCTTCCAGCGCTAATCTGAACTTTCCCAGGAGGTCTCCAGTCCAGGTACTGACCAGGCACTCACCTGCTGCACTTCAGTGGGCTGCCAGCTGCTGAAACTGGCCTACTGTCCTGCCTCTCTATAAATATTGGCCATTATTCCTTTCTTCTCGCTGAAGGATATTGTAATTCCATGTGTTGCCCATGCAAATTCATCAATGTCCTGTCATCTGAATCTCCCAAAACCGCCAGTCTCAACAGACCATCTTGTCTCTTTCTCTTTTCATTTCTTTGAAGACCCTTAACACGGCCATACCCACACAACTTCACGTTTGGTGATGTACCAGAGCTCCTCCAGTGGGCTTTGAATGATGACCGCCCTGTTTCTCCCCTGCAGGCTGCTGCAGAACTGGTGGTCCCGTAGGAAGATCAAGAAAGGGGGGCAGCTCGTGCAGAATAAGGTTCTTCTGCCTCAGTGGGACAAGGACTGGAACCTGCAGCCCATGAATGCTCATGGCCTGATGGACGAGTATCTGGAGATGGGTAGGCCTTGCCGTGTGGACAGCCCGCATGAATCTGGGCTTGACCTACTGATGAGCCCATCAGTAATAACACAGAAAATGTGAACTGTAATGCATTACATTCATTCGTACTTTCCCCTTCAGTAAATCTGTTGTTTCTTCTGCATGTGCTTTAAACCGGAAGCTTTAAGGAATAAATGCCATCTCTTCGGTGTTTAAAGGCCGATAAGCTTCCTTTGAAATTATCCTCTAAAATCAAATTTTAAAAAATCACAGCCCGTTCCCACGTGCTCCATGTCTGGCAGCAATCGGCCCGTAGCGTGTCAGATGGAATGCGAGAGCTGTGTTCAAGCTGTGGCAGCAGAGCCAAGGGCTGAAGAAAGGTGTCTCTTCCCTCTCCTCCTCGCAGTGCTGCAGTTCGGCTTCACCACCATCTTCGTGGCCGCCTTCCCCCTGGCTCCCCTGCTGGCCCTGCTGAACAACATCATCGAGATCCGGCTGGACGCGTACAAGTTCGTCACCCAGTGGAGACGACCCATGCCAGCACGGGCAACAGACATAGGTCAGCCCGCCAGACCTGTCCGGCAAACTAGCAAGGGGTTGAGAGCTGTCGTTGGTCAGAGTGGATGTTATCCAGGGCTCTGGGGATAAAAGCCCTTCCCTTGTGAACAGTGCCATGGCATCTTCAATGGCCAGGTAGTCAGGATCTCAGTGGAGTGGAACCCCTCCTAAAGCACAACGTATCAAGTCAACATGTTGGGTTGGAAGATGGTCTGCCTGGGAGGGAGCCCCCTACTGGTGCTTCAAGACCACTTGCGACAGCAGCCTGGTTTTCTCACCCCCAGCACTGAGACCTGATGAGCTCAGGCTAAAAGGTGGTAGCAGGTGCTATCAAGATGCTGGATGGAGGCAGGGTATTCGCTGGTAGGTGGGATTTGTGATTGAATGAAACACACTCTGCGTTTCTTTGGGGTGACACCTTCCCAGATTCCTAAGGTTGGAATTTTAGGAATAATTTTCACTGATTCATTGAATTTTCATATTTAGAAGAAGGAATAACGCAATAACATTAGCTGGAGCAATGTGAATTTTCTGAAGGGCGTTTGTTGGGAGGCGGTAGCCCATCTGGCTGCCCTGACAGCCCTGTCTCTCTCCCAGGTATCTGGTACGGCATCCTGGAAGGGATCGGCGTGCTCGCGGTGATCACCAACGCCTTCGTGATTGCCATCACCTCCGACTACATCCCACGCTTCGTCTATGCCTTCAAGTACGGCCCCTGCGTGGACAAAGGATACCGCAACGAAAAGTACGCCCCCTCTCGCCCTCCTTCACAAGACCTGACCTTTTTAATGCCTTTAATGCCTTTAATGCCTGTTCACCTTTCTTTTATGTTTGGGTGTGTTTTTTTTTGTTTTTGTTTTAAATGCACTTTTTCTATATATTCTCATGTGCCAACTTCTCCAAGGTGACTTTCCGAGCGCGAAATGTGAGGTTAGACACATCAATTCAATTGGTGAATCGATGGGTGGACTATGTCACCTGGTTCCGGCAGGGGTAGGATTTTCTTTCCTGATGTCCACCGTGTCGCCTTGCCCTGTGCTCTTCTGTGTCTCCTCCCAGGTGTTTGAGGGGCTATGTGAACAGCAGTCTGTCGGTGTTTGACATGGGCGAGATGGGCAATGGACAGACAGGGCCCTGCAGGTATGTCGATCTGTGTGTATCCCCTGCTTACATTCACAGGACTGTACAAACAGCACTTCTCACTCGGAGCTTTACAGATATTCATTAAAACCTAATTACATACTTAATCTTCATTACATTTTTGGGTTTCAAATATAGAAGACAGCACACTAGCTCAGGAGGTTAACAAGCTCTGTGATCATCAGTGGTTGCAGCAGATTGCTGGGGCCTTGGGTTCAATTATTGGGGTGCTGGCTGTATGGAGTTCACATGTTCTTACAGTGTTCATGTGGGTTTCCTCCAGACGCTGTTTTCCTCCCACAATCCAAAAACATACAGGTAGGTTAATTGGCTTCTAGGAAATTTGGCCCTGGTGTGAATGTGTGTGTCTGTATCAGTTTACACCCTGGGGTACAACAGGGGAACACCCTGTAAAGGTCTGGCACCCCATGTTGCGCCCGATGCATGCTGGGATAGGTGCTGGACAAAGCAGTTTGAAAATGGAAGAAGTAACGATGACATGCAGTTCACGTGAAACAGCACTGCGGCCCGCAGCTGATGAAGCAGGCGAACCGACAGCTGGACTGGGCTATGCGGTGTGGTCATGTGGACCAGTGATGGTGTCCTGCTCTCGGATTGCAGGTATCGAGACTACAGAGCCCCTCCGTGGAGCCTGGTGCCCTACGAGTTCACCCTGCAGTTCTGGCACGTGCTGGCCGCGCGGCTGGCCTTCATCATCGTCTTCGAGGTCAGGAATGTTGTCTTCTTCTTCTCTGGTCTGAGCTAGAGCACACTCTCCAGGTGCAGCTCCCCAAAAAGAAAATGAAAGAAGTGTAGTCATTGCAGGGTGTCCCCACACATGTCCCAAGACAAGTGATCTGCTTGAGCCATTATTATTCATCTCTCCAATCAGAGGAGAGCGTGTGTCAGGTGCAGGCATTATTTGTTTGCCAAGGCAGCAACGGGAATTTAACCCGACAGCAGGAATAAAGAAAATGACAAAGAGAGAACAGATAATGCGGTCATGTCTAACAAGGATTTGTGTTTGGTTCCAGCACCTGGTGTTCGGGATCAAGTCTTTCATTGCCTACCTAATCCCAGACATGCCCAAGGACCTGTGTGACCGCATGAGGCGGGAGAAGTACCTGGTCCAGGAGATGATGTACGAGGCGGAGCTGGAGCACCTCCAGAAGGAGCGGAAGAGGAACGGGAAGCGCTGTCACCACGAATGGCCTTAGCTGGAGCCCTTTTCCGAGACGCCGAGCCAAGCGGCAGCGCCCCAGGGGTCCCGCGGTCGGAGGGGGTCTCTAGCCTGCCGGGAGGTCTGCATTGGAAGGCAGGATCTTCCGGGTGAAAGCCGGGGACGCCACCACCCCAGGGGCAGGGGTCAACTGAGCTCGCCGCGGACCAGGGGTCCCCCAATTCGCATTCCCCGTTCGCCTTCTTGGAGAACTGACAAGAAGCGAGCAATCTACGGAGCAGTCCGGAAAACATGCCTTAGGCCACGGGTATTAGTTCATTCAACACAGTCGCCACATGTCACCTCACCAAGTGCAGACACAAACAACTTGGAGATCTGTTCAGAAAGGACAAATAAATGAACGAACTGGGTTGAGAAATTGAGCACAACATGCTTGACGGATGTTTCTATGCTTCTGTTCTTTCCTGCATTTTATTTTTAAAAGGAAGACTTCGGACGTGCGTGACCCGACGTTGAACTAATGCTCGTTATTCTTATTTTTTTAGTGCTAGCCCCCCGAGCTACTGTTAGTCCCGCGGGGGACATGTCTTGCCTGTGCAATCTCAGTGCTTTGAAGGATGACCTGTGCAATTTCGAAATGTTTCCTATGCATATCAAGGGCTGTAGGACAGCGCTGTGTACAGTACAGTCATTTTTAACTTTCCTAGAGGATAACAGTGATCACAGAATGTAGAGACAAAATGGGTGGGTCTTCTACAGTGCAGCTTAATCCTCTGGAGCTCATGTACATTCACACACTCCATTGAAGAGCATCACTCTCATTCACACAACTCAATCCTACCAAAAATATGTATCTTTATGCAAATATATATTGCCCTTCAGTGTGTATATAGCATGCAAGATCATGTTCTATATTGTTTGGAGGTAGCACACACACACACATATATATACAGTATATGAATATACACAGTATTGGTGTTATAAGTTCCTTTGTTAAAACAGACGCATGTAGGTTTTTATTCATGGTTAATGTATCTTTGTTAAACCTTTTCTTTTTCTTTGCAGCTCAGGTCTAAAGTTTTTTTCTGTTTGTGCTATGAAGAAGGTGAATGCAGTGGCAGCAAACCAGAGCCACAGACACAGTACTGCACAGCTACAGTGCCCATGCATTTCTTTCATTACGTTAGATATACACTGTGGTGCAAAAAGCTTAGACAGAATCAGAGCCGCAACTTATACAGTATGTGTCATGAGTAACAGCTGCTTGCTAAAGTTATCCTCTCTTGTGACAGTTTTGACTGTAATGCATCTTCGCTTGGGTGAGAAAAAAATGTCTTGCTTGTCATTTAGCGATGTTTAATTCACACTGTTCACAATCTTCAAAAGCTGATCATAACAGCTTTGCCTGGGCAGCCGATAGAAAGTATTGGAGTAGTCACGTTTACCAATCAGATCTGACTCATTTTCAGATGTTCTTCATCGTTAACATCTGCTCCTCAATACACAGCCATAAAGCTAAAAGGCTACGTTTTCTACAACAACATAGAGATTGACCAGGGTTAAATATCAGCTGGCTAAAGCCTCTATAGAACTGTGTTTCTGAATAAAGAAGCTGGAAAAGTAATTGAAGGGAGTAGAAAGGTGCACACAGTCAGAGACATTTGTACAGCAGTGTATGTGCATGAATTTCCTCATTTCAGATCAAAAAGAGGTGCAAAAAAGGGATATTTTCTCAAAAGGAATAAGCAAACTATTTTGCATTGTTGGAAAAAGCAGCTTGCACGGGAATTTCCATTTCCAAGATGACACTGCACGACCTTACAATACCCTCCCGCCTTGGAGTTCTCCTTTGTTGCAGGGGAAATATTGTGCTTTATTACAATATGAAAAACCTGCAGAAAGCTGGTCTGGCACGAACGCCTGCTAATTTAAGGAATCGCTTTAATCCTCAGTCTCCAGCTGTCTGCAGTATGGAACGATGTAATAATGAAGTTCAGCACAATCGGCCTGTCGGGGGAAATAGGCTATTAAGTGGGTCTGTAGCGTCTGAGCCAGATGCACCTTGCCCTGCTGTTCATTGGAAACTGTGTAGGGGGAGCTGTAGGAGACTTTACTCACCCCAGTTTAGATCCAGTGTTCCCCCCCCGTTTCAGATTTTTAATTAATAGGAAAAATGTGCTCATGCAGGCTGTAAGCCACCCCAAACAAATAATTGCACAAGAGCTGACTCTCCAAAGATGTATTATCTGCCCTAGAAGCATAGTCTTGGAAGGGAAGAATTTAAACTCTGGGACGTCTTCTGTTTATCCCATGTTAGCTCAGTTTCGGCCTAAAGACACTTTTCTGAGCAGGTTTGCAGGCTGTCACATGCACACAGTTCATTTAAAGCAAGATGGGTTGCTCTAGGCTCTACGGTTGTATCATTTAACAATTGTACACTGTGCCTATTCACTGTATATGTTTAGAAATATCACTCTTTTAGGAAGCCTTTAAAAAATTATCGTTAGAAGCTTTAGAAGAAGAAATGACATATTTGGAATCACTTTAATCTGTATCCATTCCACCCCTGAATTCCTTTGACTTTTTCCAGTTCATATGGCATCCGCTGTTGAATTGCTTACCCTAGCAGAAGAGTTACAAAGCTGCAGATGTGAGTTTTAGTTTTCACGGAAAGAATTCACACTGTCAATTGTGGAATTATCTGTAGCACTGTAATGTGAGAGAGGCAGCAGCCTTACAGTGAGTTTTGGTTTCTGCCAATGTTAATGAGCAGCTAGGTTTAACTTAATTTTGACTCTTTCTTTTTGAACAAGAGAGCTGCACATATTTTTGTATCTAATCTTCTTTTAATTAAGATGCTTAAGAACCCTTCTGGGCATACCTCTTGTGAAATTCGTGCCTGAGGATGCTTTGTGTTAAAGCGTAAGTATGGAAACAAAATTTATATTTCTTAGAAAGTCTGAAAGAGAGTGCAGATCAGTTTAGAAGGAAAAGAAATCTTTGAGCCTTATTTCTTTCTGGGTTTTTTTTTTTGCATTTGCAACAAATTCAGGTCCAACTTTACAACAGACATGAATAAAATCTCCAGGTATTTTCTCTGAAGCTCAAGTGAATTCCTTTATTCATGAATTTATACTCATTGCTCCTCTTCTGCCAACATAAAAATGCTATTCTGTCAAAGTGGCATTAATATTTGAGTCTTTGCATAAATAATTTGGATTTGTGTTTGTGTTATATATAGAATATCTTACGTTTCATCTACTATGAAAAGAATACACTAATGTCTTTTACACACAGCTGTATGTGTTCAGAATTATGCATTACTTATGTATAAAATGCAAATTATCTATTAAACACTACACACAGAAGCTCTTCTAGTGAATGTCCTTGGGACTCTGTGTGTTTGCTGATGATGCTGTTTCTGTACTTTATATATTTTTATATTTTTGCATTTAGTAATTGCATGATTATGCATTTTCAAGTCCAGCAAATGTTACTTGCAAAACAAAATAAAAAACAAAGCACTTTATAAGAATGTTTTTGTCTTTCAAATAATAGTTCCATTTTCCAAGTGTATTCTGATTCCCAGAACATAACTGAATGTGAACAAAAGGAGACTATTGTACCCAAATGCAACAGTTTCGCAAAGCTTTAAGAAATTGTACAACAGGGGAAAAAAAATCAAATATTTTTGTATTTGGACTTAATTATCTATAGGATTATCAAATATTTCATATAAAAATCTCATGTTACATATTTCATTCAATACAAATTCATTTAGTAGACCTAAATGAGTTAACAGTATTGGGCAAAGTATTTAATCAACATTCAATAACCAATCAAAAGATACTGTATTTAGTATTCTACAGTTGGATAATATCCCCCCTTTCCTATACACACGCACAAAACCCACTCTGACCTTTTCCCTTGCAGCTCAGATAGTAACTATTTTATCTTTTTAGGGATTAATATATTGTACATTACTCGTGTAAAGTATAGTTGCAGTTTCCCAATGTGGCCAGCAGAGGGTACTGTCTCACACTTTCATGCAGGTCATGTTGAGTACAGAGTTTTGCGTCCGATGATGGATTTAAACTTTAGAGTATCACTGTACCTTTGATCAATCACCAGTCCTGGTACTGTTACGTCTCACCCCTGAATCAGTTTGTGCAGAACACTTTTCCACTTAATCAAGCTGTTTGTGTAATGCTGCAGTTTCATGGGATGAAATGTGCTCTCTCCATGCAGGGATTGCAGGCTCTGCTCTCTTGGGTAATCAAACAAATGACTTGAGAAACTGCTCAAAAGTATAAAAACTGATAATTAAGAGGATCTGAACTGCTCATCTGTTAACAATTTTGGATCTTTGGTAGAAGATGTTTGGTCTACCTACGATCTAGACAGGCTGTGGTTTGACTCCTGTAGTTTAACTATCTGTCCTGTAACTAAGCCACATCTGCTTAAAGCACCTTAGAGAAATCTAGAGAAACACTTTCTGACACTGAAATGCTCTTGTTGTTTTAATGGGAAAAAAACCTAAAGGTCTACCACTCTGGTCAGATTTATTCACACACAAGTGGGCTGTGGACTGTTTCTGAACAGATCTTTCCTGTTTTCAGCTGGTGTAAATTGGACAGTGCAGATAACAATAATAATTATAATTAATTACACTTATATAGCGCTTTTCTGGACACTCCACCACCACCAATGTGCAGCCCCACCTGGATGATGCGACGGCAGCCATAGTGCGCCAGAACGCTCCCCACACACCAGCTCTCAGTGGGGAGGAGAGCAGATCTTATGATCGCATACGCAATTATTTCAGTCCAATCTGTAGTGTTCACAGCACCAGCCTTTACATTTATGTCTTCAAAAGGAATGATCAGGCATACGGCTGTTTTGTTTTTGAATCAGGTGGTGTTGGATTTAATTGGGAAATCACTTTCTGGGTGATAACACAGATGAACTCCAAATCACTGTCTTCAGCCAGTTTGCACAGTTGCACTGAAGTGTAAACTTTCTATACGAGGACTATAGGATGAAGAGTCTACGTACACTATTTTAAAATTCTTTCTATTGGGCAATTGACATTCCTTAAGCCTTAAGTTTAAATTTAATTTGCCCGTTGTGCATCCTGCTATTCAATTTTCCCTTCCCAAATAGATCATCCACATTTTCCAACAGTTTTAAAATATCAGTCTGGTCAGACAATCTGCATTCGATAGATCTGCTCCTGTGATGATAGGCCTCTTGCGGTTTAAATAGAAGGGGGTTGATTGGAGTGGAGCACAGAAAATGTGGTCTGGTCTAAATGAAATAGACTCTTGTACAATTTGTCTTGCTTTTCTAAGGAAGGGGCAGGACAGAGTGAATTGCTACAGCCACAGGGGATGAATGAGCATGTTTAACAGAGAGCAAGCAATCCCAGATTCGAACCCTTTCCACCGAGAAATGATAATGAGGTCAGGGACTGTAGAAGAGTCTTCTTACGCTCTGAGATTGATGCTTGTGACTCTATGAGATGTACAAACAATGAATAGTGCCTACTTCATCCTTGTTTACATGTAAAAAGGTGTAACTAATTATCTGTAAGATAAAGCATTTGGATATCACTTTCTTCTGTAATAAAGCAATGATTGTATCTTTTAAATAGTACACCCTGTGCATACTGCTGTCTTCTTCTTGTTTCTTAGCTTCCTTCTGCTTCTACATATAAGTATATATACACACACATTGTGATACTTAAAAAAAAACTTTATTTCAATAATAGAATAATCATTTACAAGGCTCAGAAATGCAATGCAATGCGAGCATTGCACTTTGTCCAAATAGCTGAATGAGCCCATTTATCACTACATATAGCATTTACAGCACCCAAGATAAATCCAGATTACTGTCCATTAAATAGTAGAAATGATAAAATAGCTTATCACAATCATAAAGTATCCTGGGTTGAAGGGCATCCCATAGCCCTGATCCTGGAGGAACACTGTCTGCTGCTTTTCACTCCAGCTGAGCTCTGTCTCCAGTGCTAACTGAAGACATCATTGACCTGTTCACTTATTTAGACTGTTATCTTGTTTCCTTAGTCAGTAGGGAGTGTCAAAAATGCCCAACTTCAAGGGAACTCTTTCCAACAACTTAAACACACAGCCTCTTCTCAATTTGCTTGTGGTTATGTCTGACCAAACTGCTCTGAATAGGTGCCAAATTAAGATGAGCCGACAAGACTGGGAGCGACACTGTATCACACACACCCACTGTAGGAGTGACAGTATTCGACGTGCCCACAGTGGGTGACACTGTATCACACACACTGTAGGAGTGACAGTATTCGACGTGCCCACAGTGGGAGTGACACTGTATCAGACATTATTTCAGTCCAATCTGTGGTGTTTACAGCCTTCAAATTTATGTCACAGTAGGAGTGACTCTATAAGACATGTCCACAGTAGGAGTGACTCTATAGCAGACTTGTCCACAGTGGGAGTGACTCTATACGACATGTCCACAGTGGGAGTGACACTGTATCAGACTTTCCCACTCTATATCAGAAATGCCCATAGAGTGAGTGGCACTGTATCAGACGTGCCCACGATGCGCATTTTCTCCTTCTGCTGAGTTACATTTTAGGCAACAAACCTGAATCTAGGCAGTTCTCATACTAGGAGAACGGTACAGAATTGATGTCCAGTATAAATCTCATTTGACCTCTTAGAACTTGTAAGGAGCAAAAAGCAGGAGACAAAGTGTTACAGTCCTGAACCAAGATTAGAAACCACTACACTACTGCTGGAATTAAAAATTACTTGTGTCTACAAAAAATCTAGGCATGTGCTCTACAAAACTGTCTTTTTCCCTCCCCATGCCCTATTAAGAATATGACTTTTTAAATAAATTAAAGATAAGACTTTAGTAAAATAATATTATAAATATCAGCCATGCCCTAAAAGTATGTATCCTTGGTAAATCCAGCATTTATGTAGGCTTTGTCCTCTGGGCTGGAGCTGGATGAAATCTCCCTGGGGTCTTTGCTAAGCCCATTCACCTGGTCTCTTGGCTGTCCCTGTTTCATTGCCAGGGCGTCGCTGGAGACAAAGTTTTTGCTGAAGTCCTGCAGGCACAAACAGACTTTAATGAGCACTGTGCCCAAGACAGAGAACTTCAGCTCAAGGTCATGAAGAGGGGGGTAGCAACAAGGGGGCTCAGCAATTGCCCTCTTATCACTGGCCAGTACTGAGACCACTGGGGTTGAAAATGCATTGCATGGAGATAAACCTTATGGATTGCAGCCAAAAATTCTGGTGGTTACAGGGGCAGAGCTTTTCAAAGCTATAGAGATGAAGCATGCAATTACTCTGTCAGATCTGCAAGACCTAAAAACTGCTGCTTTATACCAGATGCCGACATCTTGTTGAAGCCTTTAACCTTTAATCCTATGACATTACAGTACATTATGGGAAATAGATATGTGCAGAACTCTACTAAAGCGTGTCATATGTGACAATAACGCAGGCCAGCTCTTTTCCACTGCCTGCCCCTGCTTCTCCATGTGTGACATGCTTCATTGGAAACGAAATAACTTACCACAGTCTCTTCATCATGCGGCACCCCACACCAGCACAGCGTTTTGCATTTTTCAGACCAGAAACAGAAGAGGTTACACACTGGCCGGATCAACAAAGGCTTGACATCTTTACCCCTCTGGGGGCCTGAAACAAAAGAAAAACCGCAGGCTCATAAACTGTCTCGCAAGCCTCGCTGCCGTCTAAACTGGAAAGAATGCGCATGACTTCAGACTCTGTTTCGCGGGCCAGGCTGTAAAAACCAAAGCACTCCCTCCCTGGCAATGCCAGCTGTCCTTTCTTAGGAGGGTGAAGCCCTGCAGCCTGTAAAATCGACGAACGTTCCAAAAAACGTGACAGGTTGTAAAAACTGAAAAGAAAAGATTTGATGGATTTTGATCAACCGGCTGCCTACTGAAGGTATAGATCCCACAGAGCATCTCCTGGGATGCCGTACTGTTATTTATCCTAAAGTGCTTTAATTACAACAGCAATAAGAACAACAGGAAAAGTAGACAATGAACATTGTACCTGAGAGATCTGAACTTCGCCTGTTCTATTTATCCACACTGATGTCAATCAGGAAGAACTGCTGCCGTACCTAGAGTTGTACATAGTGCCGTACTGTAGCACCTGTAGCACCTGTTTTTGTGTAGTGAGCACACACACCTGTTACAAGACTGATCAGCAGGCCTGCTGTCATGGTGGCCAGCCAGCCCACAGCACTGTAATACAGGTAAGACATGGAGTACCAGGAATCCGCAAGGGCAGGCCTAGGGAGGTCAGAGAGGCAGTTTAAAGGCTGTCCACATCACAGTACAATATGTACAATAAAGGAGCACCAAGCCATGATGAAAGATTTAGGTATTTATTGAGAACTTTGCTTATAAAAATGTAATTAAGTTGCAGATGCTGAAGGTTGTATTTTCTGACACACTTGGCCGCTTGTTGAGCTACCCGGACTGTCATGCTTTTCCAAGCTTTACCCTCCGCTGATTTTATTTCATTTTTTTATATTTCCCGAGTTTTTTAACGGGAGCTAATAAAATGATCTAGAAACCGCATTGTTGGAGTAGTAAAGTCTAGTGGGATTATAAAAAAATTGCACCAGTTAACATGCTTATTTCCTGGATTCAAACATGTAGGCGATGTTAAGATAAGGGCACCGATTAGTGAAGAGCTGAAGTGAGAGATTAGTCTCGCTGAAACAAACACCTGTCTTCCATTAACTGGTGTTTTGTGCCTGTGTAAGATCTGGGCTTTTTCATTGGCTCATTCAGGGTCACATGACTGGCCTGGGAGAAAGCGCTAAAGGTTTCTCAGAGGAGCTGACTTCCTCGTTTTCCTTTGACTTTAAGGTATGTTTTTAAATTAGTGCTTTCTTCAATTGCAGGCACCGGTTATTTAACTGTATATGTGCCTGTATCTAGAATTGATGAGACTCATACAGTTCACAGACTTTTAAGAATGTTAAAACAAACTAATTTGTGAGTTTATAAGGGTTGTTACACTAATTTAGATGTGTGTTGTACCTTGCACAAAGGAGATTAAGGGAGCCCTGATCAAAATTTCCTGAAAAGGCACTGGCATATGGCAAACCCATAGGGTTACGTAACAGTGAAATGAGGAGCAGGGAGTACAAGCAGATATTGACAGGACTGAAAATGGAAACCATTCCTCTCCTCAAAGGATTGTGTGTGTCTGAAACAAGATACCACAGGCCATTCATCTTGCTGAAGCATATCCCCAGGGATTCTGCAAGACGCAATAGGATGAGATCCTTAGATCAATAAACTACCAGGAATAAAATCAAGCAGGGTGGACTAAGTGGACTTGTCTTGTTTGAAAACATTTCTGTCTTCTTGAGCCCTAATGCACAAGGGATCTGACTCTGTGTTCCAGATTCTTTCCATTCTCACGCTGACAGGAGCTGAAAGCTGAATCGTGCCCAGCTATGTCCTGCGCTGACTCAGTGGGGGGATAGGGGGGTGGATCCTGTGACTGCAGCTGTGGGTTTTGCACACAGTTCCTTGGTGGACGGGTACCTTTCCGGTGCCAGCGATGGGGCCAGCGTGGTCAGGATGTCCGAGGTGTTCAGGGGGACACATCCGCTGGTGTTGAGAGGCAAAGGCATGGTCTTCCCAGGAAGAGCTGGGTGCACGAAGGCCCCAATTCCCGCCCAGAACGACAGCGTGATCCCTACGGCCAGGCCTCCCACCGCGCCCTGTAGAGAAGACAGCAGCTGACGCCCCCAGCAGGCCGGACACGGAAGGGTACCGCCTTTACTGGTGCTCACACACTCCTGTTGCTGTCACGGACGTCCAAAGGGACTAACCGTGGGGAGCAGGAGAGCGGGAAAAGACCCATATGCGTAGCGGCGAGACGGGAAAAGGGCCCGGGCTCATTAGTGCAAAGAGTTCAGGAATGCCGTATAGAAACCTATGCCCTCAGGGAGCGGACGTGGGGCGCCCTGGTGCTCGGCGGGTCTCAGGACATCCGAACATCAATGCTGAGCGAGGACAGAGTGCAAGACCCGGAAATATATAGCCCAAGGGAAAGAGAGGGACAGGAAGGACAGCAGACTGGAAACTAGGGACAGGATAGAGAAGGAGCGCCCTCTGGCTACAGAGGGCGTGACAGTTGCCTTCCGAGGTCTAGAGTCAGACTAGAGAGCTGCTTCTCCACACTGTTTCTCCTCACGCTAACCTGAGATGAGATCAGCTTGACAGGGACTCCTATTTAGCAAATTGTTGTGTTGGCACGTTTTTGTTTTGTTTTGTTACTGTGATTCCACGGACTAACAGGCACAAAGCCCAGCACAGGCCCCAGGGAAACATGGGCATAGTTGCTTTTCCCATGAAAGATTGCAGGCAGTATTTTTGGCAGACGAAACAAGCCATAGAAATTTTGAAAAAAGCTTGTGTCGTTTCTATAAATCTGCAGCACTTCTGTGCTAAGACGCTATGATTCATTCTAGTAACACAAACTCAAACATGTAACATTTCATGTGTCTTACCAAGATTGTTATGCAATAACTCAGTGTAGAATGGAGAAATATTTAAACATTTGCAGCCGATTAGTTGTTTCTTTCCTGCCTGTTCACAGATAAGTCTGGGTTTCAATTGATTAAACTGTTTTTTGTAAAATGCAGATGGATGCTAAAATGCTGATTTCTTTGATGACCAAGTTGGATAAAGGTCACATGAGCATTCTAAAGCAGTGGCTGTCTGCTGGTTTTCATCCCCTTAAATCTCAATTTCTAGTGACTGATGCTGTAAACTAATGTTTGCATGTTCAGCGTTTACTTGTTTCTGCACTTGGTTTTGAAGATACTCTCCTTTCACACATCATCAGCTTACAGACCTTTCCTCTTTACTTGATCATTTACAGTGCGCTCCCTTATTTCTGCCCCAGCAGCTATTAATAAGTGATCATAAGACTGTATCATCAACAGGAGGGAATGACACTGTACCAGACACTGTCACGGTGAGCTTTTTGTCCCTTCTGCAGAGGTCCACATGGCTATACTTAGGGAAACACACCCTGAATGAGGGTATTTCTGAAACTCTCTGAAAGAAGAAACGGGTGCAGGATTGATACCACTAACACATCCCACTCCCAGGTATCACACACAAATCCAGGGTTGGAAACTTTTTTTTTTTCTAAAGTGTGGTTTGTAAGGAAAACGTAGTTCAAACTCACCATCCAGTTTGTGCAGGGGAGCAGGATTCCCAAGGAGAAAAGACCCAGCATCGGGCCTCCACACATCCCATGAATGCTCAGAGCAGCCTGGATCGAGTTTCAGGGCAAAGGACAGTGAGCTTTGCGGCCTGTAGCCTGACAGTCTCAGAGAAACCCTATTAATGCAGGAATGCTCCACTGTTCAACGTGCAATCCGCTGTCTAGATAACTGATCACCACAACTGTATGGTGCTGCACAGATTATGATACTGCTCTACGGTATTTGTAACGAAGCATTTACGGTACAATGCTGGACAGACAAATCCACGATGCCTGTATGATTTGTTAAAAGCCCGCATGTCAACAGCCAAGTCTGTGGAAAAGAAGTGGATGGACGCTGCGATTCGGAGACGAGGTTACCTGTACTACTCCACCCATGTAGGCAGCAGCCACGGCCATCGTGGTACAGGCTACCCCAAACACCACACCTGCAGGTTCGAAGAGTGGGTAACACAGAGAAAGACGCTGAATGAAATGTGTCATTTTCGGCTAGCATGACCTACATTAGGGTCCAGACTGGACTACAGCTCACCTGTACGTTTTAGACCGTACTGTGTATTTCCGACAGCAGCTGCTCTCTTACTGTGCTTACGTTGCTCAAACTGGCTCACTCCCTCAACACCCTGGGCTCTGCTGCTTTGTTTTCTTTAAGCTGCTCCCTGTTCCTGATCCTGTCCTACCCTTCTCTGGATTGTCTCTGTCTCGGCTTTGCCTGCTATTTGCCAACTAGTTCCAACCTGGTGCCACTGATAAATTTCTTTCTGTGTCGTTATTTCACACTTCATATATTTGGTTGGTGTTTTTTTTTCCCACTTACACAGCCCTTTGCTGATCCAGGTGCTGCATCTGTCCGTCAGGTTGTTAAAACAGTACTTGACAAAATCTTCGTAGGTCACGGTCGCGAGGGCATTAATGCTGGCGGCCACAGTACTGTGAAAAACGCAAAGAGTTGACTGTACAGTATAACATGGCTTGTAATACTTGATATTCCTGTTTCTCTGGGTAACAATACCAGGTCCCAGAGAGCCATCTAGACCAATATTCTGGTTTTCATTTCACCATCAGCTCTTGGTGAATTCAGATGACTTAATAATCAATTCAATTAATTGGTTTCCTCTGTTTATAAGTCTTTGTGCCCTGTGGAATTTGTTACCAACAGGCCTCAATAAGGCTGTGGTTGTCCATGATCAGGATTGGGTAGCACCCCTCTTAATTAACTCCCAGGTACAGCCGGTTTCCTTTTCCATCCTTTCCTGAGCTCTTCCTAAAGTGAGATTGGTGTGTAAAGTGGGATCTTAAACTGGATATCCAATTCTCCCTTTACCTACAGTAGGAGAGTACAGTTAAAATGAAATGTTCTTTGGGGTATTTAAATATAAGGTGAATATATTTAAAGGTGTCAGACTCCATTATTGCAGCATTGGCAGAAGAACAGGGAGTTCTGTGGTTCTTAAATGCCCTTGAGAGCTATAGGTGTTTGCCCTCTGGGATGATGTAATATCCATTTTGATTAAACCAGGTGGGTATTCTACACATTTTGGCTTGTGTAAAATGGAAGTGCATTGTCTGATGTTTTGTTGGTGTTCTGGGCCGCACTCGGGAGCCCCTTGATTAAGGGCTGGATCCAGGTAACCAGTAGCATGAGCTCACTGCCAAGGCTCTGCTGTGAAAAACACAAACCTCTGAACGTTTTTTTTTTAACCCCAGGGGTAACACTGAACCTGTGGCCAACGCTGAGTGAGATCAGTCTGCTGGCTAATACACTCTCGTGCGCCAGATGACCTCCGTGCACGTGAGCGTGTGCTCTCCGAGCCTCCACGCCAGATTCCCCCGACCTTTTCATGGCTTGGGTGCTGTGCCACAGGCGGGTGCACGCACCTCAGAGTCCCGCTGAAAGCGCAGGCCACAAACAGGCCTGGGAGCCCAGGCAGGTGTCCAAGGATGTCCATGACAAAATAAGGCATGAGCTGCAGGAGGGAGAGAGGACGCTCAGAGCGGGCAATGGGGGATGGGGTTCCCTTTCTGATAAGGGTTCCCCGAGCCCCAATCCACACCTGTTACCTGGAACGTGCAGGAATTGTTCTGCTCTTCAAATTACCATACATCTTCATCTTCGCTGATCTTCTCCACTTACCCATGGAAACCAGCAGCACTACATAACAAGAGAGCTTTGACTTCATACAATTACGTTTTAAAATCATACAAGTGTGTTTTTGTAGTGTAAGCCTTTAAAGATCACCTTGGTTAAGGGTTTTAGCCATTGGACTATACATTGGCTGGATTTTAGCCTAGAGTCCGAGAAGCCAGTGGTTATCGCCGAGATAAGGGCGTTCCTGTATCTCAGAACTCGAGCTCCTTTTTTTAAACCGACAGATGATCCTTGACAATAAAGTGTAAATTGCCCAAAGAGACGGATCTGCTTTTGCTTCCTTTTCAATGTGTGGAGTAATAGATTTTTTTTAATAGGTAATAGATTTTTTCGTATTTAGAAAACCGCGGTGGAATTAAATCCTCTTCATTATAAGCAGTCAGATTAATATTGGGTATGTAAACTACAGCTTCATTTAAGACTACTTGCAAATGAATGGGAAAGAACTATTTTTTCAGGTATTTAGAAACAAATGCATTTCACAGCGCCTGTGATGAGTCTGTTACTGACATCAAGGCACGCACTGAAATGCAATCAAACATCCGGTCAGTTATCGTTATTGACCAGTCTTGCCTTCTTTTGACTGTAAGTTTAACAGCTGTACAAAAAAACATCCTCTGGAATACCTGATCTGGCGCTGACACAAAGCCTGCAGTCCAGGGGTCACAGTCCATATAGAAACTGTACATGATGAGTCCAGAGAAAACTGCGCAGACCAGGATCACCAGCAGCCCAAGCAGGTTGAAATACAAAGCGCTGGGGATTAGAGCAGACACCACAGAACAGAAGCATGTGAAGGATTTTCGGTGATTCTTTATGTTTCAGTGACATTAACTAATTACGTGGCCCTGTGCAGAAGGATTACTGGGGCCAGTAGGGGGTGCTCACCCTGCGGTCTATTTGTGTCCTCATTCCCCAGTACAGTGACGGGGACACTATACTGTAAAAAGGCGTCGTCCTTCAGATGAGACATAAAACCGAGGTCCTGACTCTCTGTGGTCATTAAAAATCCCCGGGTGTTTCTTGAAAAGAGTAGGGGTGTTACCCAGGTGTCCTGGCCAAATTTCCCCCTGGCCTTTACCAGTCATGGCCTCCTAATAACCCCCTCTCTGAACTGGCTTCATCACTCTGCTCTCCTCCCCACTGAGAGCTGGTGTGTGTGAGAGGACTGGAGCATCATCCAGGTGGGGCTGCACACTGGTGGTGGTACCTGCAAAGCGCTTTGAGTAGAGTGTCCAGAAAAGCACTATATAAGTGTAAGCAATTATTATTATTACATTTTTTATTTGATTTATTTAGATGTTTCTCAAATTTGCCCTCTGATCTTATCCCATAACGCCCACGCGCACATCCTGTCAACCAATGTTTCCAAAGAAAAAAAGAGGTGTTTTAAGTGCTATGAAAGCAGAAGCAATACAGAATGAAAAAAGTTTCCCTGCTGGCTCAGGACAAGCATTCTACATATGATTCTGACTCCTCTCTTGTGCTCTGTGGCCTGTGGTATCAGATGGTCATTGATAAAAAAAAAAGCATTTCTCACAGTTTGGCTTGTTTCTCCGACTTGCAGGAGATGCATCTCTGGATGGTGGACTGGTTAACCCCGTATATTCCCAACCAGGTGAAGGTTCCTCCAACAGTTATGGTCCAGAAGGTGTGTCTCCTCAGCGGGTCAAGATCAAAGCTGAGAGCACAGAGATGAGGTTTATCAGTAGCTGAAGGAAGTTGTGCCAGTGGTCTTCTGTGTTTGTTTGTTTGGCCTGTTCTTCTACTCACTCAAAGATTTCCAGTCTGGATCCCTCCTGGGCCTTCTGCCACACAACAGCGGTTCCCCCACTTTTTATGGTTCCTTGAATCAGAACCGTGAGGAAGCCCATCAGCATCACCACCATCTGAAAGGCGTCTGTCCACACCACGGCCTTCAGCCCCCCCTGTCAATCACACACAGTCAGGTCTGCTGTGCAGCTGCTGCCTCACACTAGAGGGGAGTCCTCTAGATTCTGCCACCCGGAACTGCAAAACGCACAAATCTACAACAGCCAAGACTCCGTATGATTTTTATGCTTTTTGTTTTTTGTTATGTGCAAGCACCCTTTGTAAACCCAGACTTACTTCGTATTATTTCCCACTCTCTTTTTGGTTTTGAATTTACAGAAATGCCCACCCCCCTATTAAGCTGGTGGGGAGCTGGTGGCGGTGTTTGTGGAAAATTAGCTCATTGAGGTCCTGAAGGGATTTCGACGTTGTGCGTTTTGAGATTTTTAGGAAATGAAGTGGCATTAAAGACAAGGTGAGTAGTAGTTACCAGTGTGCAGTAAAAGGTACAGACAACTCCTGTAGCAGCTATGGAGCCCCACAGATTGAAGCCAGTCACTGCAAAGGAAACAGTGGAAAAGACAAGTGTTTCAGGGCATATCTCTCTCTTGAAGAACAATGCTTAATTGACACAACTAGTCAGTGCTTAGTGCTTAACATGTCAAGGCCCAAACCTTGTAAAAGATACAGTCCTTGGCAAGCCTATCATGTTTTCTGTAACTGCAATCAAGCTTGGGTTGCTCCTTACTCAAACATGATAGATCGCAAAATAATTGACTAGAGACCCTTCTGGATTCTGCTTCCCAATGGTCATGAAGGAACTATCAGTAAGTTAAAACCCCTGAGTCTGCCAATTGCTTACCTTGATTCAGAGCCAGAGCAGGGGCATAAACCACAACTCCAGTGTACAGAATCTGTAGGCAGAGTGAAATTAGAAGGAGTCAAGACACTGGAGTTTTTATAGGTCTTTCTTCACACATTAAGGGTCAGTGTAGCATTGAGTCAAGGGGTCTCCTGGCCTCCTAGCTGCATGGTTTGGGGTTGACATCCCTGCTGCGCTCGCTGCTGTTTTTACCTGTGATCAAAGTAACATGACTCCAACCTTACAAGCAGTTACAATCCTGGTGGTAGCCTGCAGTGAAGGGGGAGCCTCCCTACTCCCCTACTCCCACTGCAGAGCCACGATAATCTCTACCCTGCCCTGATGAACCTCTAGGCTCGGGGTACACAACTCCCGTCCTTGAGGACCAGATGATTACTGGTCTTTCTCCCATCTGAACCCTTCATGAACCCAATTAAACTCATTATTTGCTCATTTGGACCAGTTGAAAGCCCTTCTGTGTGTCACGGGCGTCCAAAGGGACTAACCGTGGGGAGCAGGAGAGCGGAAAAAGACCCATATGCGTAGCGGCGAGACAGGAAAAAGGCCCGGGCTCATTAGTGCAAAGAGTTCAGGAATGCCGTATAGAAACCTAGGACAGAAACCGGAAGGACAGCAGACCGGAAACTAGGGACAGGACAGAGAAGGAGCACCCTCTGGCTGCAGAGGGCGTGACACTGTGCTCTTAAGAAGCTGGAGATTTAGAGAGACCGACTGTACAACACCCGCTGGACAGTGGCCCGCTGAGGACCAGAGCTGAGCCTCCCTGGTCTAGGCTGGAGCACAGCCCTTATTGGCCTTCTCCACACATGGGCCATCATTTCCTCAGAAGGACCTACCGTCTGCACCACGTAGATGAGTGTAGCTGCCATGCGGACGGTCCTACTGAACCTCAGCTCCAGATACTGGGAAAAAGATGAGAAATTGTCATATTAACTGTCTCAGACCGACTATGTCGCAGCAGTTCTTTGTGAGTGGAGATTAAATATCTGAGTGGCTATTGACTGAACGATTCATTTTTGTTTTATAATGCGACCGCACGTCTGTGCAACAAAGTTAAAATTGAAGGATTATGTTCAATTTCGATATCTGTCAAATGGAGGTTTGGCACAGTCTCAATGACATGTTCTTTTCCTCTCTCCTCTTTCCCCTTGTATCATCTGACTGGCCTGGCTATGTATATAATGCGAAGAATAATCAGATTCACGTGTTTTCTACTCTGGAAGTTCTCGGGGAACATGTTTTATGACATATTGCTCTGGCTCAGATTTTATTCTCTAAAACAATGACAAGATAAAGTTCATTAGCTGGACCTTCAATCTTTGTCCATGTAGTTGGAGATAAAGGACCCAAGAACAAATGCCAAAACTGATTCTGATGAATCAACAATGTGGCATGAGTTGCTCATCAGCTTCATCATTGTTTCACACTTTCTATATACAAAATCAAGGACTTGGACTGGCCTTGGTTTTCGGGAAAGCCCAGATGCCCTGCGTTTTTTAACCGAAAATGAAGACGGCCTCGCTCTGCAGACAGTCATGGCAAAACGTGAGAAAAAGGAAAGGACATTGGATTACCTCATACGTGCTGGTGATCCCAGATCTATAAAAGACCGGGACAAAGAGCTCTGCAGTCATAATGACCATTATGGTGTAGGCAATGCCGAAGATGATGAAGGATGCCCCAAAACGATACACGTCCGAGGGGGTCCCCAGCACTGTGACAGCGGACATGAAGCTGGCCGTCAGAGACAGGGCCACTGGACCGCAGGTCATCTGCTTGCCCCCCACCAGGAACTCCCTGGAGCTGACCTTCTTCCTCTCCTTGACCGCAAAGAAGATCCCGATCCCAGACGAGATCACAAACAAGGCGGCGAACACCACATAGTCCCACACTTGGAAAACGCCCACCCCAGGATCCTCGAACATCATGGTCAATGTGTGTGCGGGGAGGGGAGTCAAACCAGGAGACGAGATGAGATAGATCGAGCAGGACCTCTGTTACTGTAGGTGCCCCTTTATCTGTTCACTGGCATCCTCTAAAGGTATCAGTCCTCAGTCCTTCGAGGAGAGGCTGGTTAGGTCTTTCACCAGGAGTGAAGCTTCAGATGGAGAGGAAGAGCTTGTCCTCAGGGAGGTACAGCAAAAGATCTCATGCAATGTACTTGGAAAGCGCCTGGAAAGAATAGTTCTGCATTTCACAAAGTGCCGTCACGAGTGCCCCATCCTTCCCTGAAGACTGTATCCCTTGCACACTGCAATGCTTTATGTAGTCCCAGTGATGAGGTTAAAGTGCTGGAAATGCTTTTCAGTGATGGGATAAGCGTAGGAGATAACCTCCCATTCCCCCCCGCTCTTGAGCTCAGAAGGGCAGCAGCTAGTTAAAGATTACACAGGAAAGTGTAAGAAAAAAAACGTCTCTGACCTATCAAAATTCACAGCATCCCGCTGTGATCAAGAGCTGAGTACGGTGGCTGATAAGAAATGTCATTTTCCACTTTGTTGTCGCTGATTCATGTTGTTCCTTTCTCCTTCAGGGGGATTCCGTATCTGTCATCGATCTGTCTGAAGTTAGATCGACAAAGACTGCTCCTCAGTTCGGAGATCATACATATAACGATGTGCTTAACCCCTTCACAACCTCCTGCGGACTTCTAAAGCTCTGATAACTTGTCAAATAAGTATAAATTTATCTTTGTAGAAGAGGTATACTGACATACTGTAGATTGTTCTTTTGTGTACTTACACCACAGTGCCGTATGGTAATTACTCTTCTAAATCTTTTATTAGTTACTCATATAAAAGACCGTTGCACCTGAATCACAGTGAGACAGATGTGACCAATGACAACATGGTACACTCTGGCATTTGCTTGATAGTCACTGTAAACTACCAAAAACAGAACAGCTCCTGAGGCTAACAGAAGACTATATATGTGTGGATTTTGGATGTTTGGATGTTTATATTTTGGGTTTTGCAGCTAGGAATGGTTTCAGACTTTTTAAGAACATAAGAAAGGTACAGTAACAAACAAGAGGACTTCATGGGGACCATCTGGCCTATTTGGTACTTAGAAGTTAACTGATTAGTTGTGCAGCCTGTTCCATATACCCACAACCCTTTGTGTAAAGAAATGTCCCTGATGTCAAATTTAAACGCACTTCCTCTTAGTTTCCACCTGTGTCCCCTGGTTCGTGTTTCACTGTTGACAGTGAAGAGGCTCACTGGGTGGATGTGGTCAAGGCTTGGAGGGTCATTTTTGTTTTATTTCAGTCCTTTTGAAAGAAAAGACAGAAATGCTCAAAGTTGTACTTTCTCTCGGCAACTCTGCTTCTTGTATGCTACATGAATCGCAGCATGTTTTCACCACTTATCTTGGTTTACTCACCATTCGATAATGATAAACAGATTTATGGACTGCACTTGAAGGAGCAAGTTATTCACTGCAGTGTTTAGTGGTAGTAGTATTAAACACAATACATTCAGGCTGAGCAAGGATTCAGTCATCACACTGTATCTACTAAGACGAGACACTGAAACCACTGGTGGGCTGTGCCTGTAGTTCACAGCCTTCAACAATGAATAACGTGTTCAGTTAAACGTGTAATGAAGAGTTCACGGAGCTAGTCACTCATCAATTGCTCTGTTTTGGAATCCATGCTGATGCTGCTAAACACAAAAAGGGCATGGTGTTAGTATTATTCATTAATTGAACCAGTACAAAATAAGTCATTTACAAGGCATTTACAATATGCAAGGAGAGGTAATTTCAACACTTAAGCACACACCCAGACTTTCCAAAAGTCATTAAATGTCATTATAATGGGCTCCATGTCAAATGTGTGCTGTGTGAGCAAACTCTAAAAAAAAAGGTTATCTTCTGACCACCTGATGATTGTAATTTTAGTTTGCCATTATGCTAGAGCAATGTTATAACATTTAAACCGTCTCAGGCAATTGATTAAGTTCCAGTCCAATTTTATGTTAGGTTTGCAAAAACTAACATTTGACATTCTTGGATATCTTAATTAAAACATACTTTTTTCTTGCACATTTCCCAAATAGATTTTTCATGTTTTGTCTACTTAAAAAAATCTTATTATTCCTCTAATTCAGAATTATAAGAAATTATAGGTTTATAAGTTGCGGTATGTCATTAATGCTTTTACTAATTATAGGGTTCATATGATGCAAGTGAGCATTTGCTTCCTTGTTTCAGCCATAGTACTGCATTTTTCCCCAGGGAGTGTTTATGAATACCATAAATATTAGTCTCCCTTATCTTCATTTACTGCTTAGATAACATGGTACTGGTGTTCATTGTCACAGCAGGTGTTCTGTTATAGTTAGAGCACAAGAAAGAAATTGCACAAGAAAATGGATACTAGTGATGTGTAGGTGATATATTTGGACATGGAAGACCTTTCTCCAGGGACTAAGTGCAGACATTGTGGTTAGGAATGAAATAGTTCAAATTTCTCACCCAAAAAATAAAAACTATTACCAAAATGCTAGAAAAGGAAACATATGTGAGCACTGTAATAAAATGTTTTCCATGCATTTTAATAGAATTTTAAACTGCATGGGATGCATATTTAAAACAGATCCGTCACAACCCAGTTCCCCGATATGCTCTGTCATTTCTGTGAACCATTAGAAAACATTGAATGAAGAGACAGTCCTGTACTGCCCAGTACCAGACAGGGTGAATTTCAAAGGCTTTGCATCCAGTGCAATCCCTTTCAGCTTCTGAATCTGATTATAAAAGACATAGATGCTAAACAGGCATGGAAAATGCATTCAGGTGTTATCGCTTAAATCTTACTGGTCTGGAACAAGAAAAGACCCACAGTGAGGCAAAAACAGTTTTGTATAAAATCCAGTCATTCCTGGAGCTATTTAAACCCAACAGTCCAGATTCAAACTTCTGCAGAGGGCTCGAGTTCAGAATGCTGTTCTTTGGATTCTCTGACATTTTTATTATGAAACACAAACATCTCGTCTGAAAAGTGGGGGACAGTTTGGTGAGACGCTCAGGTCCATAATTTTTTGGGGGGCAGCGGTCTTTCAGAGGAAAGGAATAAGGATCTCTTCGTTTAAGTATTTAAATAAACCTGCTTATTTTCACCTTGACGTATGTACTGTACTACATCATGTTTTGTCAATTCTACAACGTTCCAACAACACAAACTAAACTAAATTGCGGGGAACGTCTGTTAATCTATTAAAGTGCACAGGTCACAGTACATGGTCCTAGTTGGATTGATTACTGGGGTTGAAAGAGAAGGGGTAGAGAATTTCTTTGAACAGATAAGAAAATTGGAAAAAAGTGTGTCAGTCAAGCATGCTTCACATTAATGTTGCTGAACCCAAAGAACTTACTTGTGATAGTAATATGTTAGATTTTCAACCTCTCTCCCTTGTTAATACTGATTGTAAAATAATTGGTTGACCACAGAAATGGCTTAAAGAGTTGGATAATATTGCTGTTCAAAGGAAAGCTCGGTTTATCTTTGATGACTCCTCCCACCCTCTTCATTCCCATTTCCAGCTGCTACCTTCAGGGAGGCTGTTTAGAAAGCATCTACAAGAAATCCTTTGGTCCTTGTGCATGGTATATCGAACTTCCTCTATAAAGCTATCAGATTAGTGTAAAGGCAGTGCAATATGGGGAAACAGAGATAAATGTATTGTTGCATGTCTAGGACTATTGTTTGTTTTTAATGTATATTTTATTTTGAGTTTTGTTTTTTTACTAGTTTTGTGTGGTGATACCAAATACAAATGTGCACCCTTCTGGATGGTCATTTATTTGTGTCTTGTATCTCATTTTATATTTCCTGTAATTCCAATATCAAATGAGCTGGAACAATGGCAGAAAAATGCTGTTAAGATGGAGTATTGAGAATGAGTGTTCTGAAGCTGTCTATGCACAGATGGTGTTTTTCTTGGGGTTCTGGTTGGACTTATTATTGGAAAAAGAGTGTCCAGACTATAAAAGAGTATATAGAGTTGGGTATACCTGTAGTTCCCAGTTTGTGTGGATATTCCAGAGAGCACAACTACTCCGGGAGCAAATTAAGCTGCAAAAACATACAAGGCAGGGCTGTCAACATCCTATTACACCTGGTAACTTCCAGCACTGTCACTGTGCTGCACTAGCTGATGCTGAGACAGTATTGCAGAGAGGAAGGAACTTCGATGAAACTGCAGCCTGCTTCTGGGGTTTCATTGAAAAAGGGTATCGATCACTGTCAAAGTGTGGCAGTGGAGATCTGATCACAGGATTAGAGGAAGACTAAAAGAGGGAGCGAATGATGAGAAGGACATTCAGAAATAGGTAGATCAGGCTCACGTAGGGATCTGAAGTCGGCTCAGTGTACTCAGGTGACAGGCACTGCGTTACAGGGTGTCTCATCCATCCAGGGCATTTTAGGCAACACTCGTGGAGTCCAGACAGATTGAAAATTGCAGAGATAGGAACCACTGTGGACTAGCATGGGTTCATCTGGCATAACTCTTAAGAAAATCCTGTTCGGATTCATTTATACATCGTAGATATGTTGAAAATGCTGTAACTACCTAAACAGGCTCATGGGCTGCATGGCCTCTTGTCATTTGTAACCTTTTAATGTTCTTATTTAATCCAGCTCTGTGTCTGAGTCAACTAGTAGTTTCACTAGAAGTCTTTAAAAATGTACAGAATTTTCTCGAAGTCACCTTGATTGCCACTGGGTAATAACGGAGGCAGAATACTCAACATCACTACTTCCTAGGGTAAGCAGCAGTAATCCAAAGACTACTTATTGTAAAGGATTATTGAATCCAACAGCTCTAGACACTACTGTAGAAAATCTATAGCAGATCACACTTTTAATGGTCCTGTCCAATAATCCGAAGGAACAGGTAAAGGTGAAAGGAGTCCTACCGATGCTGATGCAGCTCCCAGCTCGAAATTCTTCAGTGTAATTCAAGGCCATTAGAGATTGGATGCTACTCTACAAGGAAGAACATATAAAATGTTTACCAAGCTGTGTGGTCAGAAAAGTGGTTCAGGACAATAAGACGCATCCAGATGCAGCAATTAGGAGTTTTCAGAGATAACTCTGGCACCTCTGGATAAAATGTCTCCAAGAGTACCATTCAAGGGCAGTATGAATTTGTGTTAGAGCTCCATTGTAACTTGAAAAGAGATCCAACCAGCAGTGAATCAGCTCCTAGGTCTAATGATGTGATTAGCACTGAGGTTCCACCAGTGGAAAGATTGGCATAGAAAGGTGAAGCTCG